GAGTAGCAGAAAGAAAGAATACTTTAATCTGAAAGTAATTAAAATACAAATATGCTTTAGTTTTGAGAATAAATGTGAAACAATTATGCAAATTTAGGACTTAAAATAAATTATTCATTTGATTTGCTTAATTGACAGAGTTTTTATATAATAACACATTTGCGATGAGAAGAAAAAACGCAGTGTATTCTTGAATTTACAAGAATACATTTATAAAAATGTACAAAAAAGCAATAAAATGTAAACTGAATGGATCTGAAAAATGACTTGTTCAGAAACGCTATTCAAAGTTTTTAGAATTTCTCACAAATAAAAAAATTCTTCCGAAAATGAAACAAATTTACGAAAAAAAAATGCAAAATAGTAAACAATATGCAAATTTATAAAATACATAACAAATTTATCTCACTTACAAAAGTAGACTTAACGGGCTAATAAAACACATAAATACCATATTGAATAATACATAAATACCATATTAAATAATACATAAATACCATATTAAATATTAAAAAAATTTTTGAAAAATACCATATTAAATGAAATACATAAATACCATATTATATATAATTTATTTTACAAATAATACATAAATACCATATTAAATATTAAAAAAATTTTTGAAAAATACTATATTAAATGAAATACATAAATACCATATATTATATAATTTATTTTACAAATAGCATATAAGATAAACTTATAAATTTACGATAAATAACTTTTTCTGCAATAATTATGCCGAATCTAAGCTCACTCACAATTTTAAGAGTAAATTATTATTATATATTTTATATAGTTGATCTATTACTTATATTTTGTCGTACTTCGCAGGTAAGTTAAGTATGATAAAATATAAAGTGACAGATCAAGTTTTACTTGAGATATGTTCTATCTAGATAGATTTCGGTTTGAAATCAGTACTAAATCACAATTAATGATTAGGAAAATAGACTGTCGACAAGGAAATTAGGTCAGTTTTAACGTAAGTAAGTGAAAAGATAAAAATTTGATGCAAATTGACATGGCAAATATCAATTTAAATACTAGAAATAAGGCATAAATATATTTAAAAATAAATCACAAATAAATAAATACAAAAATATTTGATCAGTGGAAAAAAATAATAGTAAAAAATCAAATTAATCAATCAATCATTACAATTGATCATTTAAAAAAAAGCACTGAAGTGTTTAACCTTGAAGGAAACGAAAATTAATGCAAAAAAAGCATTTGAAATGGTGAAAATTTGAGAATGTATTTTTAATTTCTAAATTTAATTTAATTTGGAAATGCACAAATTAAATTAAATTTGGAACTTGAAGAGTAATATAATTGAATAATTTTTGTTTGATAATAATTAGCCAATTTAAGTGTTTTGAATTTTAATTACAATTATTTTTAGAAAGCAATCAGTTAATTAAGAAAGTTTGATGAATTATTTTCATGTAAAAGTGTGACAAATTAATTACAAAAAAAAGCAATGCAACAAAAATGAACAAAGAAATATTTTATATTGAAAATAAGAATTTATTTTACAAAAATATAAAAATTTGCAAAATTAATTAACTTTGTTTGCATTTTTGATAGAAAAATTAAATATGAAACAAAATTGCAACTAACTGATGAAATTGTGAATTAAGTATATATAATTAGGTATAATTAAGTATATAATTAAGTATATAATTTTATAAAATTATTTACAGTTATGCAAATGATGAAGTGAAAAATTTATTTGCATAAGTATTTTATGAATGAAAGTGAGAAAAGCTAATAAAATTATTTATAAAAATTAGTTTCGTTGCACAGATTTAATACTACAAATTAAATTAAATTAAATTAAAACATTAAAAAATAAATTTTGCTAAAATGATTTGAATTTAAAACTTTTTGAATTAATATAAAAAATTTTAATTTATGAATTAATTACGTAAAATTAATTTTGTGGATTCTAACAAAACCGTGTTAATTTAGATAAAAAAGATAACTATAAAAATCAAAAAACTTTCTTAATGAAAAGATAACTTATTTAAATTTGAATCAGTAAAATTGATTAAATGAGTCATACTTTTGCAACTTTTCAACAGCTGTTTTAATCAAAGTAACTTTACTTAAATCAAAATGACTTATTATTATACTTATTAAAAAGTACTAAAGTGATAGTATGAGGAAATAATCAAAATTACTAGTAATAATTGTAAATTAAAATCAGTAACAATACAACAATAGTTGTCAAAATATGCATGAATCATTGCAATGTACATATAAGGATAGAGTGTGCTTCAAAATGCTGAAAAAAATGAAAATAACGCCAACTTTCTAGCAATTCAATGTATATGTTATGCTTTTTTGCTTAAAAATTACGCTATATAATTTTTTTTCTGATTTCACGTCAGTTCAAAAAAAGTTCACGTAAAATATCTCGCAAGCAAGTTACGTATAAAGTAATAGAAAATAAGAATTTATATTATTGGAAAGAAAGTATGACTCAAATAAGCAAAGATATTTATTTGCTTGTTTGCCATACAGAAAGTTTGCTTCTTGCTAAATTGTTGACACAAAGTTTGATGATCTGATAAGCACAAGCATAAAAAAGCAATTGCGAATACTATCAATGATTGATTTTTCAACAATCATATGATATAAATCAATCAATACTAACTGATTTAATTATTGGCTTTCAGCAAGTTTAATAAATTAAGCTTTATGTAATAAAATCCGTCAAATTTAAAATTAACTTTTTTGGAATTAAATTTATCAAATTTAAAGAATAATAGAAAATTTGCCATATAGCAAATTAAGCATTTTCTTATGCAAGCAAAATTATCATACTCTAAAAGTTATACAATTATCATCACTAATTTAATTATGCAAATGTTTACTGACTTTTTATTTGATCAGTAATTGAAATGTAATGATTATGATGGCAGTTGAAGGAAGAAAATTAAGAATAAATTAAATTGGTAGCGCTCCAATTACTTCAATTGAATTCGACTGTTATGCATGAGAAATTTGCAAATTCTGAAGAAAATTGTTGATTTTATACGTTGTGATATCTTTAATTTTGAGATCTCACTCTCAATTTCAATTACGAATTCAGTTTTTTATATTATGATTTTTAATTTCAAATATCAATTTCAGAATTCTTGACTTTTCCATGTTTAGATTCTTAGTTTTATCCTCAACTTTGTTAATTTGAACTTAAGTTCCTATCTTGAGCTTTAATTGCAGAATCCTCAACTCAACCTTCATTTCTTTGTATTAGCAGTTTTAATTTCAGAATTTCCAACTTTAATTTTCGAGTTCAAAATTTTTGGCTTTAGCATTTTTATTTCAGTTTTTGAATTCCAGATCTTGGGCAGTAGTATTTGTTACTTTAATTCTCAGCTTAATTCTTAACTTCATTACTTGCGCTTTAGTTCTTGATTTTAGCATTCTCGAAATCAGATTTGAAAGCGTTACCTCAACTTTTTTCTTTCTCAAATACTTCATTCTTAGGTTATCCTCCTGACTTGAATTTTCAGACTCATAAATGAACTCAATTTAAATTCAGTTTATCGAATTATCCACTCTGATTGAGCTATTTGTATTTTGCAGTGTTAGTTCTAATTTTCAAGTCAACCAAATAATAATTTTTTGCATTCTTAGCCATATTTTATAATTTGATAACTTTTTCTCCACATAATATCATTCTTGTAAACTTTTTTTCATTTTTTTTCATAAATTTTTTTACAATAAATTTTTGCATTCAACAAGTATCCATTCAAATTTACAACTTTTACTGTATTATTTTGATTAGAGAATGTCTGCTTGCTCAGATATAAACCGTTTTCTGAAGGCAAGTAACTCAATTCAACATCATTTATTTAGGCATCAATTTGAATGAGATTTGTCCTCATTTCATTTTTTTTAATCCCTTCACATCGATAAGATTTTAAATTTAGCATGCATTTTGAAACATATTTTTTGCATATTTAATATTTAAAAATATCAAATAATTAAAAATTAGTAATAAATTTGGATTATTTTTGTAACGAGTTAGTCAATTTATTCATTACTATAAGCCAAAAAATACTGAAGTATAAAAATCAAGTAACTAAAATGTGAAGGTTAGTTTTATATACATAAAAATTATAGCATCAATTAAAAGTATAAAAATAAGCATTAAAATCATAACATCAATTAAAATTATGCTTAAAAATTACCGTAATCTGTTTACAACACGCATTTACATATTATATTCAAATATTGTATGATGTTGTAATACTTTTTGGCATTGATAAGTGATAAAGCCAATCAGTGTTACGAGTTTTTAATTCAAACACTTTTCTGTTGGTAATTTTTACCAAATTTATAATATATTTTGAACTTAAAAATTGGCAGTCAAAAATTTTTTACTTAAAAACAAAAAATATATTTAAATTTTTAGCTAAAATAGGGGAAAGTCATGCTGCTAAGAAATTTTTTGAAAAATATTAACTGCAAAATTTTATTAATTTCTATATAAACATATTATCATATCAAATTGAACTTAATTCGGTATACAAATAAAGTTGTGATTTACAGCTGAAACGACGTAGTCTTCGCGACATGATTTACGTGGATATAAACATGGCTCTTGATTGCACAATTTTGTCTCTGTCGATTTTCTTTAAAATAATTCATGATTTTGTTTTCAAATAATTTTAAATAAATCTGTTGATTGAGTCTGTTTATCCCTTAAATAGTTTAACTAATGCTTAAACTTGATTATAGTTCTAATACTTTGAAATTTTCTTTAAAGAACACTTTTAAAAACTCATTAAAAATATTCTTGTAATAAAATTAAATAATAATAATACTTTCGGTGAGAAAATTTTTACAAATATATTTAAAACTTTCAATTTATTAATAAAAACGTTATATTTCGGTTTAATATTTAAATTATATTATTCATAATTTATCTTCAAATTATATTACATAAAATGATTAAAATATAACAGACTCATTAATAATTTGATGGCAAAATTTATTTTATTTAAGTATTTTATTAAATAATAAACCATTTTTGATAGTTATAAAAACGAAATAATTATTTCAAAATATCATCACAATTAATGTGTTTAGAAACGTTTTGTTCAGTAATTTGTTCGTTTTATCACTAAATTTGCAAATTATTATTATTTTCGATTATTAATTTTTAATTTTTAATATAATGTTAAATTTTTATTGATAAAATACATAGCAAATGTGATTCCTGAGCAAGTTTGTCAGTTAATTATCATTGTATATAGCACGTTTTTTTGAATTTTGATTTTTTGATTATCACTAAATTAATAATATAAGAGTACTCGCTAAAAAAGCAAAATTTGCTTAAATGACAAATATATATTTAGATTAATATAGTTATTAATTAATATTTATGCTTGAGAATATTATTGCTTAAATATGTGTTTTGCTTTTGTAAAATTAAAAATCAGCCGACTGATAATGACTGATAAGCAGCATGCTAATTTCTCAAGTCATATGCAAAACGCTTAAAAATAAGAAGATAATTTGAAGAATTTTTGGTTGTTTATTTTACAGAAATTTAAAATTCTACGTCTAATTTGCATATTACTTAGCATACTATGAAGCGTGAAAAAGGTTTGCCTAATTTAAAGCACTAAATCATACTTAATTAAAGAGGTTAAAAGGAATAAGTACACGAATCAAATAGAAATCTATACCCTCGACAAGAGCAATTTTCACTGTTGCGATTGCAGCTACGAGACCGTTGTTGGCTTCCATATGCACCACATTCATCTGTACATAACGACCACGCATTCCACGTTGACCATTGTACTTCGCAACGTACTGTTGTTGTGGGCTAAAAACAAAAATGATGTAAAAATTCAGTTTTCTGCTATGAAACATCCAAATGATTTTTCATGCATCAACGCCTGATTTGTCACGTAATGCGTCTTCACGTGACTACTTTAGCCCTATTATAACTTATTTATGTTTCGAAAATAACACGATATACTTAAATAAACTTTATGAATTTTAAGCTACTGTTAAAACTTCGACTATAAAATTTAATTGTTTTTACCATAACTTATTACAAAAATATAAATAACATTTGAGATATTTTTGCATGAAGAGTACTGTACTTAAATTTGTGTTTCTTAATAAATAAGCTAAAAATGTCAAATAATAAATTCATTTAATAACTTCAATATATTTGAATGTCAATGTTAAAGCTGAATTTGCGTCGGATTTTAATTTTATTTCAAAACTGTCAAATAATTCTGAATTTATCAAATATTAAATAATTAAAAGATTAAATTTTTAGCATAAATTTCCCATAAAACGTGACTTACTGCTTTTGTTGTAGTAGTTGTAGTTGTCGTCTGAGTTGCAGATGTCGTTTGAGTTGGACATGTCATCTGAGTTGTAGTTGTCATCTGAGTTGTAGACGTCATCTGAGTTGTGATGGGTATATCTAAAAGATCCATCAAGTTACTTCTAGTTCTGTGATCATTGTTCATGATTTTTTGATTCTGAATTGTCGAATTGGACAGTTTAGTATTAGTATGAAGTAGCATTGAAGATAATAAATATGCAGGAGTAATTATTGTGATGGAATCAAAACTTAAATACTTTATTTTAGATTTTTCATTATTTTTTTGAAGTAGATCACGAGTTAAAGTAAAAGCTGAAAATTCAAAAAATTAATTTTATTAAATTTAAAATTAAGGTCAAATGATCAAAAATAATTAGTGATCAAAAATGATCAAAACTAAAAAAACATATGTAACTTTGTTATTACTGCTTTTAATTACCTCTTACGAGGCAGGAAATATTAGCTATATTAATTCTCGATCCCGGTGCTCGCCATCGTGCGTTCTTTCCACATTTCAACTGTATTTGGGCATTACCAGATTTATTTGATGCGATCGGCTGACCTCTCAGATTATTAATCAATATTATTGCAATAGTTTCATCCTGAATCGGTAGAAAATATATTATAGAATTAAAACTAGACAGTGCTTGATCCAAAATTCTGCTTTTCGATAATAAATTGTTGATTCAAATAGTTAGTTATTGATGGCAAAGGAAAAAAATTCAAAATCTTTGAAAAACTTTTCAAGCCAAATATAATAATCCGATTGAATTTTTAATAATATAAATGGATCTAAATTTTTTCAACAGTTTTGTTCAAAAATTCAAAATAATTGTTTGTAAGCTCTCTAACCAGGTCACTTTTACAAATTACATCTGCTAAACGACAATCATTCTTATTCATTGAATATTTAATTGTTAATTGACCATTTCCTTCATCGTCTTTCAAATTTTCCAGCTGTACAATTTTAAGAGTTTTACAACTGCCACATAATTTTGGAACTGAAAATTTGCATAATTTTTGAAAAAAAAAACACAAATTTGCGCACGCGTAAATTGTAATTTAGATAATCTTTTGACTTGAATGAACTTTTTGGCTTTGGATTGATATTCAGTCTTCTTAACCGTTTATTCGACCTTAATTGACTTTGTGTAATCGTAATTAACGTTTTCTTAGTAATTTGCATTTTAAGTTTTATTGACAACTTTTAAAGGTTGTTTTCTAGTACTAATTAAAGTTACATGATTTACTGCAAACGTTGCACGAAGAGCGAAAATTAACTCGCGCAGTTTTTAAAATTTAATTCAACTCTTATTAATGCAGAAACTTTTACTCTGAAGAAAAAAAGGATTATGCAAATCTTTTGAATATTTTATTACTTGGTGGGACGGTTGCTAAAGCAGTAGATGATGAAGTAGTCGTAACTGTAGATAATGGTGTTGTTGTTGGTGGTGGAAGATCTGAAACTTTTTATTAAAAAACTTTTTGATGATCGATTTTTTTGAAAAAATACTTTGTATATCATGATAATGATCATTATAATGATAATAAGCAAACTTTAGTAAAATTGATCGAATTCTGATAACAAAAATATTGCTTTCAATAACCAAATTTTTATTGCTATTTTTGGAATAAACCCGTTTTGCCTTAACTATGTTTACATTTTTAAGTTAGCAAAGCTGTAATTAATTAAGTTATTTAATTAATTTACATATTTTTATTATAATGTTGTATTTCATGCGTGCAAGTGTTAATTTATGAAAATTTGCAATAAAAATTATAATTATAATTATTGCAAACTATATTTTTACGAAATATTATTAATATTAATATTAAAATTATTGCAATAATTACTATTATTATCTATTATTATGCACTTCAGTTATTTTCATTGCAATCGCCGTATGAATCGGTAGCAAAATTAATGATGATGATAAAGTTATAAAAACCTCGTGCAAGACACGTTGCGCTTTCAATATTGACGCGCGAGCCATCTAGTCTGAAACGTCCATTGTTATTGCATGCTACAGAAATTACTGTAGTTCCACTGGTATTTGAACTGCTTGCTGACTGTTTCATTCCATTAAAGTATATTACAGCTTCTGTATTCTCCTAAATTAAATTTTCATGGTATTGTTCTGAAGTAAATAAAACTTGAAGTTTTTGAAATGTGTCTTTGTTATCAATAAAACATTGAAATTTATGACACTTGTATTTCCAAATAAATTACGGATGTGCTCCAAAGAAATTATATCAGGTCAAGAGGTCAAAAGTCTCATTTAAAGTCTTAAAACAAAATTGCATTTTCTCAGAGAAATCATTTTCTTACCATAAGTTCGGTTTTTCAGTACTTTTTTTTTGCAAAATAAAGTTTAAGAAATCAATTAAAGTGATCAAAGTTAATACTGATTGTAAATTTTGAAATTTTTGAGCAAAAGTTTTTAAGAATTATTTATGTATCTACTAATTTTGTGTATTGCAGTCAGTACTTGAAAAATGTAAAAAGTTTTAAATTAAAATTTTTAAAATTAAATTTCAAATTTTTGTGATTTGGAACAATCAATTTTGTAAAATTTGAATAATAATCAATATTTCACCTATTTTTTTCATATGAGACTGAAAGTGTGATTTAATAAGTCAAGACTAAAATTTGACATCATTTATAAGAGTTCAAAGGTTAAAACTGATTTAAGACAAAAATGACTAACAGTATTGGTCACACACTTAATATTGGCTACTCGGCAACCGTCTTTATTCATCACATAACTGATGGAAATTTGTCCATTGCCTTCATCTAATTCAGGATCTACCACACGAGTCGTTTCGATATTATTGCATGTGTTACATGGTACTGCAATTTGTATCCAAAAAGTTATCCGTCTTGAACTTTGACTTTAAATCAGATATTAAATCATTCCCTTACAGTTCTTTACCTTGAATTAAGGATTAAAATTTATGACCAAATCATTACTCAGATCAAATTTTGCACTGCTATTTACTTACATGAATTATCATCTACTTAGTCATTATTATGCACACTTATTTGCTACTAAATTTTGTCGAATGATAAAAACATAATTTTTGCATATTTATTTGGTAAAAAAAATTTTGACCAAAGTTATAAAATTTGAAAATGAAAAAAATACTACTCGGCGTTGTAGTTGGCGGTTGTGTTGTTGTTGGCAGTGGATTATCTACAAAAGTTGTAAACTTTATTGTTTATAACAACAATTTGAAATTGCTTCAATACGAGTACTGCGTTTTAATTGAATATTAAAGCAATAATTTTGATATTAATGATGATAAAAAATTGCTTAAATATTTATTCGAATGCAATATTTAAGCAAAAACAAGTATGTCATCCGTTTTTATCGTGGTTTACAAATTAGAATTGATTTTAGTTAAAGTTATTTTAAATATAACACTTTTAAATGTTTTTTTATTTTCAATAAACAAATTTTAAATAGTGCAATACTTTTTTTTTCCTTATTTGCTAAATTATAAAAATTACAAATACATTATTTGTAATTTTGTATTTGTATTCGTCACAATTTTATAATTCAATAAATTACAAATAATGTATTTGTAATTTTTACTGACTAATTATAATTTAGCAAGCATCAGGCTCAAAATATGCTTCTTCAATTTATTATTTTGCTAATAAAATTATACAAAAAAGTGGTAAATTGAAGAATTAATCAGTAAAAATTCCAAACTCATAATTATTGAATTATAAAATTGTGACGAATTAATTCTTAAATGGCGATTAATCTAAAAATTACAGTAAGCTAAATGAGTAGAACAGTATTGTATTTTATTCTGTAAATAACCTTTTAAAAAGCATGTGACATTCCAAATATTTGCATTTGAACTAGGTGCTCTCCACCGTTCATTGTTGTTACAAGTTAAAACTAGATTAACACTACCAGTTGATGAGCTTATCAGTGGAGATCCACTGACTCCATTTGCATAAATTATAGCCATTTGATCAGTCTGAGTCAAAAAGATTAATCAAAGAGCAATCACAATCAATTCAAATTTAATCAAAAAGAGATTGAGATCATTTTAAATTAATTCAATCCACATATATTATTCAAAATTAGTTCGAGAGATAATTTAAATTTTGCTATTTGATCTCTGTAATTAATTTGGATTAGACAAATGTGGCGCATTTGATGACAGCAAATTTACATTTCACGACCTAAAATAATTTGAACGAAATTTTGATACAATTGCATATTAAGGAATTTACAAAAAAAAATATATTTAAAAAATTATGCAAATTTTCCTGACATTTTTGAAATAGTGTATTAATGTTAAGCTTATTTTTTAACTTGGTACTGTAATATGTCCTTGAATTTACGATATGGCATTTAAAATTTATGTATAATTTCTGACTACTGAATATTTACTTTAAAATTTGCATAAATATAAATTATGTGAAAAGATACCAAAATAGGAGAAAAGCATTTCAGATTAACAGTTCGACAATTATTTGAATCTGACCCATAACTAATAATCAAGCGACCATTACTTTCATCATTATATAAAGATGGTTTTTTTACAATTGATATATTGTTGCAACTAGCACATCGTGAACCTACAAAACTTTGTTCCAAAATACCAAAAATAAATATTGATAAAAAAATTAGACAAATTAACATAGGTTTGTTACAAGATTATTATGCATGCAAATTTCAAAAAAATATGCAAATTATTTATTAAAATTGAATTTTGATTTTGATTAAATTTTACAAATTTTGATTTTGTATAACTTTTATATTAATAAATTCAAAATTTACATTAAGTAAAAGTTATTTTTTACTTTATTATAGCAAAGTGATGAGAATATGCTAATTAAATATTCATATTACTTCAGTAAAATTGTTTTAATATATTAATTAAATATTGAATTGTGCTAGTTTTGAAAAGAAAGTCAAGTTTTAAAAGTTGCGAAGTTTCATTTTCTTCGCGTGTTACCACTTTCTCCTCGTTTTTTCCGTCTTCTTATTCCATGAAGAGTTAGTCGTTTCTTACCGAAATCCACAAAATCATATTGGTAACAAATTTGAGAGTCTGAAATTTGTTTCTGATTATAATATTAATATTTTTGTTCTTTCAAATTTGTCCACAAAATGACTCTTTAATTATATTTTTTACGCTTTTTGACTAACAATTTTGCTAATAATTAAATTGTTTTAATTAGTTTTTACTACAAGAAATTTATTGTTGAATAATATATCAATTTCAGATTTGAAGAGATTAATGGTTTAATAAGTTATGGATTTTAGGCTCAGTAACAGTAATATCTTACTATAGTATTCATTTTAGTGATAGTAGTACTCATTTTTCAGGCTTAGGGATAGTATCATTTGGATAGGTTCATTGCAGCAACAGTAATTCAAATTTGCATTTATTTTGCTGATAGTAATTGTAACTACACGTTTACTTGATGTGTTGACGGAAAACAGGAAAATTTATAGGAATGACAGTAACTGTACTGATTAAGGATATAAGAGCTTTAACGATTACGGTGGTGATGTTAAGTCGACTATTGAAAATTTCATCTTTCCCTCTAAATTACAGATTTTTTTAGTATTTATTGGTCTAAATTATTTCTTACAGAAAATTTGAGCATTATTTTTTTCTTGTAAACAAATATTTTTCTGTATTTATTGCTACTCTGACATTTGACCTCTGAACCTGAAGTATTTACAGTGTGTATTTTATAGTTAGTAACGATAACTAGTAATGAATTTTTTTTAATAAATTTTATGTTGTGAGCAATCTCATATCCTTTTCATTAAATTAAAACTTAATGGTCAATTAATGTTAAAAATTAAACTACAGCAGTTTTCTCTCTGATATATGAATCTGATGGATTAGTTATAAGTTCGGTAGTTTAAATATAAAGTTTTTATTACCGTAATTTTTTTCATCACAATTGCCAATTCAAAAGGTTTTATTAGCTATTAGATCATTAGATTACAAATGTCATAATCAAAACTTACCGTATTCCGGTATTGTACCCTGAAAATAAGTATTATTTTCAATTTTGTCATTCACAATAGTAATTCGAAAATTTTGAATGCTACTAAAAATTGATACTGAAAATTTATTTTCATTCTGTCATCATATCGTAGATATTGTTATGGTATTTCATATATGACTGAGTTGTTATTACAAAACAGCCAATACGGTTTACTGATTGATATTGAAATCACTTATATTTAATTAATTTTTTAAAATAGTTCTAAAAAGTAACTTTCTTACATTTTGGTTAGCAATTGGAACATTTGAAACAACTTCACAACGCCTAATTTGAGCGTAAGCACCGCTGTAAACGTCAGAATAAATATATGCAAATGACGTAAATATAAGCATCGTAAGTGAAAATGTAAAAATTATGATGTGAAGTGAGCTACTGAGAAAAGGTTAAATCAAAATTATCTTCATGAATTATTAGCTTTATAAAAGTGAAGTAGCTCAAACCATTGGTTCATTACAGTTTTGTTTCGTTTATTTTACTTGACGACTTTTAAATTAAAATAAATTTGTTCAAGCGATAATCGTTTTGATACTCGTTTATCACTTTTTGATCATTGTTATTTGCGTGTAAATATACGTTTAAAAATTAGATATTTATACTTTTTTTCGTAAAATGAAATAATTTACTTACTTGCAATTAGTGGATCCCACTAATGGATCACAATTCATGGTGATAATCTGACAAAATCTGAAAATTTTAAGTTTTAAGCGCTTTTAAAATTAAGTAAAACAATTTTCAAAAATGTTTACTTATTCAAAAAATGTAATATTTATTAAAACAATTTGATTACTTTACCTTCCACGAGCTTCGACAGTTGATCCATCTCCAATATCAGCAAAAGTATTTTGCCATTGTGTCCAACTACTCCAAACTTTCACGCTATTACAAGTCTTTTGACCGGTGACCAAAATACCAGCAGGTATTGTAAGCAACAACAGTAATATGCATAAATGCATATTTTTGAAAACTGTGATTTTATTTATGATTGTAATTCAAAATTCTCGTTAGCATAGTATTGAAATTCCTTTTATCATATAACATATAATAAAGTACCAGAAAAAATGATATAAAAAACTAAAAAAACAAAAAAAGCATTTGTGTATTAAAAATAATAAAATTAAAAAAATCGCTTGCAAAATAAAAAATTCAAAAATGGTCAAAAAAGGGTACTGTTAAATGAATTCATGAACGAGTACTTGTTATATTGGCTGCTTGAAACAGTTTATATAAATTTTGAAAATCCAGGATATCTCGGATTATGCCACACTCTCAATACAATACACAAACTTTCAAATCACGGATAGAAACTGTTGAAGAAAAAAGTTTAAACAGTATTTTGTACAAAAATATTGGAATTTTATAAAATTGTTTGTGTTATATTCTCTCAATTAATCCATTATTAAGCCATTATTACTTTCAATACTTGATTTCGAATTTAACAACATAAAAAATCATTTACGTTTTGAAAGTTTTTTATTGAAAAAAATTTTGCCAAAGTACAAAATGTTAGTTTGATCAGTTTTTAGGTGTAAATTAACCATTTTTAACGTTTTATAGCAGTTATATTTGATTATTAAAAAATGTTTTAAATTTTAAGTTTTAAATGCTTTCAAAATTAAGTTTTTCAGTAATAAAATTATACAAAATCGCTTGCAAATTAAAAAGAAAAAATTCAAAAATAGCAAAAAATTTTTAATAATTAAATACATAAAAATAATAATTAAAATACTCTATTGAATAATGAATTATTTTTCGATATATTTTTGAAATATTATTTATTTTTGAAGTGTTTTTTCAATAAAAAAATACATTATTTAAAATTTTTTGCTATTTTTGAATTTTTTCAATAATAATAAAGTATCAAATATGAAAAAGCAGATTATTTTTAACGCCGAATAATAATTTTAAATACATTTTGTGGAATAAGTTTGTTTGTGATTCAAATAAAATAATTTTATTGAAATTTATTTGCAAACTTTTATATAATATTTAAAGCTGAACGTTTGTTTTCTCAGGGTAGACAAGACAGTAGGGATAGTTTTTATCTTTATAGCTAAGTAATTTAATAAAATTAAAATTCTTTAAAGTTTAATTAGTTTAGACGTTACAAAAATAAATCAGTA